GTTGGAGACTGATGTTGCTTACATGAAAGGAAATACATAATTAGGCCAAGCTTTTGGCGACTCTTGACAGAATCGCTAAGCTAGAGACTGAAGCTTCTCGGGTGAGAATAGAGGCAGAAAAAGGCCGAGCTTTTGGCGACTAGTGAGAGAGCCTCTAAGTTGGGGATAGAGGCAGCGGTAGATCAAGCTTTTGGCGACTTGGGAGGCTCTTTCTTAAGAGACAAAGAGGAGGAAGAAGATGATAGTGAGGGTAGCCAGAGGGAGCTAGAAGGATAGAGCCGGTGTAGCATGGGCGTCGAGCACGGGAAGCGAGGTAGCATGGTTTGCTAGGAAGGATGATGTTTGGCACCAAAGGCACTATTGCACGAGGTGGGCAAACGATGCGGGTGGTGTGCTCAGGGTGCGCAAGCGGGTGAGGAAACAGGTGAGGAGACATGGGTGTATAGGCAGGCGCCAAGGCATGGGCGTGCAGGTGTACAAGCGCTGGGGTGCAGGCACTAGGGAACGAGTGCTGAGCAAGCTAGTGTTGGGCGACTAGTGACGGGAGTGGGCACTGGACACCATTGGGCACGAGCGCTAGCATCGCTGGGCATGGGCGTTGGGGAGCGGGAGCGAGGTGCTAGGCGTTGGCATGCTGCTGGTGCTGGGCACCTGGACATTGGGCACCGGGTGGTGTATTAGAAAATCATCTAAATTTTGAACAACCATAACTTTGCTCTCTGGTATCCGTTTTATGTGATTTTTTTTTGAATCTAGGTATTTTTTTCGAGATCTTGAACAATCAAACCGCCTATAGCGGTTTGGCCACCAAATTTTTCCAAAAAATGTTTGTTTTCACTGAATTTGAATTTTAACCACAATTTAGTAAAGAAATAGAATTTGCACGTATCTACTATTCGTATTCCCCTTTACATAAAGACTCAGCTCGCCTTGCTTTGGCGATATCCTCAATGTGAGGATCTGTTGCTTCTGGTTAACCAATGTTGCATGGTCTCCAACAGTTATTGGGATTCAAGGACGGGGTTCGCTGGTTGTGGCGGGTCTTCTTTCGCTTGGTAGTTCATAGATCTGATTGTGATTACCATTGAACGTAGTCTTGAAGGTAGGAAGACTGTAGGGAGGAATCAAATTGTTCTCACAAACGACGCCAAACTAATGATGCACAAAATTAGATTTATGCACAATCAAATTAGTCAAGTGTGATGTAAAACAATTAATGAAGCAGATAATAATAAGAGAAAAAGATGGAATGGTTGGGTATAATTGATCTAACCACTAAAGGCGACAACAATGGTCGAAGAATTCTATTAATAAAAGAGTGCAAGGTAGTAAGGGAGAGAGAGAGAGAGAGAGTAATAGTATGCTCAAGGTGAGGTGTATAAGATCTGCCCTCATGTGTAGGGGTTTACAACTTATAGACATAGAGACCTAATTGAGACGATGACGAGAAAGTCAAGATACTAGTTTATTAGAGAGGATAACTACAATTGGGGATATATACTATTTTGGAGTCATGGCTATCTCGAAAATTGCCCTTCTACTTGCGTTGACTTTTCCTAGACTCTTGAGATTTAGACTAGATTGTATCCATGAACTAAGTCTGATCTATTTTTTGATGGTTTCTGTTCAATCCATGAATTGGCCCAGACTTGACCTGAATGTGGAGTCATCAATATGTACCACATTTTTTTTGAAAAATAGAAGAGGTATAGATAGTATGAAAAATTAAACTTGTCTTCTATTTTCAATTTTTTGTTTTACCTTTTTGATACTATAGAGTTTCACATCTGAGTATGCTTTGCCACAAAATGTCAAATCTTATGAGACCAATAGATCTTTGGTCTAATGGTATTCATTGTCTTATAAAAACTTTATCTTCTTGAGGTTAAGGGTTCAAGCCCACTTCTCCTATCCTCTTTTCCCCCCAAAAAGAAAAATGTCAAATCTTATGAGCCGACGGCGTAATTATCCAAAACTAAAGGGATCCATCTAATACAATGACAAATATCTTGGGCTCGGATGCAATTAATCCTGGAAAAACCCTTATATTTCATAGCACCTCCCTTTGGAAAAAAACTGGAGAGAGAGAGAGAGACGTGTTCCTTTTTCCGATCGGAGAAGGCCATTCCGCATGCAGTTTGTGTCCCATTTCCAGCTCAAGGCCACATAAACCCTATGTTCAAACTAGCAAAGCTCCTTTACTTCAGAGGCTTCCACATCACCTTCGTCAACTCAGAGTACAACCATCGCCGACTGCTGAATTCCAGAGGTCCCAACTCCCTCTCCGGCGTCCAATCCTTCCGGTTCAAGACCATTCCCGACGGCCTCCCTCCATCCGACGCCGATGTTACCCAAGACCCCCCATCCCTCTGTGACTCCACTCGCAAGAACTGCTTGGCTCCATTTAGAGAGCTTCTCTTAAAACTCAACAACAGTTCTTCCTCCGGCATTCCTCCGGTCACCTGTATAGTTTCCGACGGCATAATGAGCTTCACTCTCGAAGCTTCAGAAGAACTTGGTATCCCTAATGTTCTTTTTTGGACCACCAGTGCCTGTGGCTTCTGGAGCTATGTGCATTATCGTCAACTCGTCAACAAGGGTTTCACACCACTCAAGGGTACATATCTATTATAAGCCAATCATCTTTTAGCTATGCTTTAAATCATCGAAAGGAAAGTACTATTTGATCTAATTTAATAATCTTAGGGCATATTTGGTCGAAGAATTATATGATATTATACAATGAGATGGAAGGAAATAGTACGTGGGCTCATCCCATGCTTCATTTGTTTGATATTTTACACATAGTATTATTTTTCGGGTCGTAATATCGATCCGATTTGAACGGTGTCTTAAAAACCTTATATATGGTATTAATGAATACCATCAATCCGGTGGTATTATCTTCTCGGTACAAATTAAAGGATGGTATAAGAGATTAAAATGACTGAAATGCCCTCCTCTGTAAAGATTTCACATATAATATTTCCTTGTATTATATTTAAGCGTATGGTGTTGCTAGTTTTTTTTTAATTTTTTTTTAAAATTATTTGAATTTTTTTCTTGTATTATGTTTAAGCGTATGATGTTAGCAGTTTTTTTTTAATTTTTTTTAAAAATTATTTAAAATTATTTTCCTTATATTATGTTTAAGTGTATAGTGTCACTGATGTTTTTAAAAAATTTTTTAGAATTATTTAGACTTTTTTTTTTTGTATTATGTTTAAACATTGTGCAAAAGTGTTACACAAACGGAGTAATGAAATGGATGATGTTAAGGATAAAATAGTATATTTGTTATATAATGTGATAGAATAAATAATTATTTGTGGGACCTATTATAGTTCCTATTGAACAAACAAACATGGGAGGGGATTGAAACACTTTCTATTATCGGTACTAATTTCTATTGGTGTTGAAAATGTAAAGAATACATATCCAATACCACCCTTGATGAATCCTTGAAACAAACATGCCTTCAGGGTTTTGAGGATTGCTATGCATAATATTGGTAAATGTATTCCTTACATTTTCAATGCCCAGGAAAATTAGTACCGGTGATATATCCCTTTCTCATGTTCGTTTGGTCACTTGGTACAATTGTGGATCCCACAAATAAATATCTATTTTATTACATCTTATATAACAAATATACCATATTAACCCTAACACCATCCATTCCTTTACTCTGTTTGTATTACACTTTTGCTCCAAAGTTTGGTTTAATCATGGCTATGGGAATCCATACCCAAAAAATCGCTGAATAACTCAAAAATCCACATGAAAATTACAGAGTCACATAAATGCACATTTTTGCAATGGGAAAAATATAAAGCAAATAAAAAGTTGTAGGTCGCTAACCGGTGCTTGGGGTTCATGGGGTTGACTGATAAATATGGGTGAGAAAAGAGGAGAGGTTTCTCGGTGAAAGATGTTACCTAGTTGCGGGTCGCCGACCGAAATCAGACCGCTGCCGTCGTCTTCCTCTTCAGCAACAAGCAGATGCGGAGAGTGGAACCGTGTAGATGGAGTGTGGTTTTATATAAGGGGTAGGTGTGGAAGGGTATTATAGTAATTGTAGGCCCTTATAATACTGGGTGGTATAAGGGCCTTATAGACCTCCTAGGTGGTGTTGTTTAAACCCATTTACATGGGAGTAGAGTTACTGTTCGTACCGGGTCGATATTGTAGCTCGAAAATTACTACTACCATATTAAAAAGGCAAAACAAACAAGGTATTAATTGGGGCCCACCTACATTTTACTCTAATCCCACCCATTGTACCACTATTATCCCCTAAACAAAAACACCCTTATTCTAAATTATTAAATTATTGAAGAGGATGTACATTGACATATGATGTGATTCATAAATTTTTTTTAAAAAAATAAATTAATGTCTATTAAAAACATTTTAAAAGAAAATAGTTTCAGTAATAAAAACTATTTGGATGTTTGTAAATAACACTAAAATAAAAATATTTTATAAACAAGTATGGTTGAATGGCAAAAAACACACATGTATATTACAATTACATATGTATCATTAGTTGTGTACTCACCCACACACACACAAATATCTAACGACCACAACGACAATGGTGGTTTTTGACATTTGGTGGGGACAATGGAAGGTTGTGGTGGTGGCGGCCGATGGCTATGGTGGTGATGTTGGTTGTGGTGATGGGTGGTAGCAGCTGTCGATGGCCATGGTAGTGAAGTTGGTTGTGGTGGTGGAAAGTATTAGTTAGAACTAGTGTTTTAAAATCTGGCCCGGCCCGGTCGGTTGACCTGGTGAACCGGTGTTTGAACCGGGTCGATTCTCATAAAAAATCGTTTGTGCTTGAAAATCGAAATCAAACCGCTGAACTGGTCAAAAACCGGTGAACTTGTTTGAATCGGGCGAGTTGAACTAAGCCGGACAATTTAATTAAAATTGTATAAATAATTGATCTTTTGTACTTTTTGGACATTTTGTGTTTTTGCCCTAAATCGCTCCAGACCAAACCAGAAGAGGCAGCCTCCACCAGCGATTCCATGCTCCAGTCCATCCTCCAACACCAGCAGGCAGCAGTGACTCTAGTCCAGCTTCCAGCACGCAGGTAGCATTGACTCCAGTCCACTCTCCAACACCAACAACGACTCCAGTCCAACAATTGTGGATAGAACCAGTGGCGAGGTGAGTTTCCCTCTCTTTCTCTCTCTTTCTTTCTCTCGGGTTTTACCTTTTTGGGGCATTTTGCCCTAAAACCTAAATCGTTCCCAAACCCCCCTACTCTGAGACTCTCAAACGCTCCCTTTTCTTCCCCCCCCCCCTCTCTCTCTCTCTGAGTCTCTGCTGTGAGTACGAGCAAGCAATAAAATCTCAAGGGTGAAGGAACTCTATTTCATGGGCTTCTGCTTCATTGCTTCAAGGACTCTTGCTTTGAAGAAGAGGCTGCTTCAAACTTCAAATCTCCATTGTGGCAGCTAACGACAACTCCCATTGACAGTAGCAGGTACTACTCTATCTCTCTCTCTCGTTATCTTTCTCGATTTCTCTCTCTTGCTATATTAGATTTTTAATTTGTAGACATTGAATCTGTAATTAAGAGCAATCATACTCTGCCTTTCTACTATTTTTATTGAATCTGTGATTTTTTATTTTTATACATTGAATCTGATTTTTTATTTGTGATTATTTTCATGCATGAATTTTTTATACATTGAATCTTTGATTTGTTGAGATGTTGTTGATGCTTTTGAAGCTTGAATTTAGATATATGATGGTGTCTTTATTGCTATGAAATGAGATTTTGGTGGGTATATTATAATTTTTTTATATATTTATTATTATTTATAATTTTTTAGTATATTACCGGTTCAACAAATGACCCAACGATTGAACCATTTACCCAGTGACCCTGTCTTTTTGCCAGGTTGTTGTCCGGGTTGGGTTTTAAAACATTGGTTAGAACACAACATCTCTTATTCTCATACCATATAAATTATCAACTACTGTAAAAAATATTTGTAAAATAAGCCATGATCTATAGACAGTAAGCAAAAAATAACATAAGATATATTTTATAATCCAGATAGTTATAGTGTATGGGACAAGTGATCTATGTGGTCCATAAGCTATATATGTTTTTAGTTTAGGTTTGATTCTGACTAATCATCTTGTGAAAGTGCAGATGCGAGTTATATAACAAACGGGTATTTGGATACGGTGATAGATTGGATTCCAGGAATGAAAAATATTCGTTTGAAGGATTTTCCAAGTTTCATCAGAACCACAAACCCGAATGTCATAATGTTGGATTTTGCCATGACTGAAGCTGAAAAAGTTCATAAAGCTTCTGCATTGATTTTGAACACATTCGATGCCCTAGAGCCTGAAGTTTTAGAGGCACTTTCAACAATCTTTCCTACAATTTACACAATTGGACCTCTCCAACTACACCTGAATCAAATCAAAGAAGATGATCTGAAAAATTATGGGTCAAATCTTTGGAAAGAAGAATCAGGTTGCCTCGAGTGGCTTGACTCTAAGGAACCCAACTCCGTGGTTTACGTGAATTTTGGCAGTGTCACAGTCATGACACCCCAACAATTAATTGAATTTGCTTGGGGACTTGCTAATAGCAAGCAAACATTTTTATGGATCATTAGACCTGATCTAGTCATCGGCGTATCGGCAATTCTTCCCCCTGAATTTGTGAGTGAGACTAAAGAGAGGAGTTTATTGGCAAGTTGGTGTCCTCAAGAACAAGTTCTCAATCACCGATCTGTCGGGGGATTCTTAACACACTGCGGGTGGAATTCCACCATTGAAAGTGTTTGTGGTGGTGTGCCTATGTTATGTTGGCCAATTTTTGCAGAGCAACAGACTAACTGTTGGTTTTCTGGCAGTCATTGGGGGATTGGGATTTAGATTGGAGGTCATGCTAAAAGAGAGGAAGTTGAGGGTCTTGTGAAAGAATTGATGGTGCGAGAGAAGGGGAAAATGATGAAGAAGGCGGCAATGAAATGGAAGAAGAAAGCAGAAGAGGCCACTGCTTGTTCATCTGGGTCATCTTACATGAATTTTGAGAAAATGGTCAAGCTTTTGCTTATGTCCAGTGGTTCAGGTTTGCAGTGTCAATCTCATGAGTGAGAATTAAGAATAGCCTCGCTTTGTACAATTACTGAAATTTTTCCGAAAGTTGCCGAAGCTTTAATATCGTGAACGACTTCATGGCGGATTAAGATCATCAGGACTAGTGATGATCACTATGCTAATCAAGATTGATTTCAACGACAATGTTTAAACTACTTTTTAAACACTTTTGGCAAGCTTCCTAATTTTGGCTTGGTTTTGCTTGTAATTTTGGATTAGCTGTGTTTCCTATTTACATATTGTAGTAAACATTATTCTGTAGTTTGGATATTCCTAATAATGAAGAAAATATTTTCTCTCTATTCCCAATTACATTTGTATTCTTAGGGATCCATAACATCATCGAATGACTTTTTACGAGATATTATTGGAGGTAATTAACAGGTTTGAAGCTACCACAGTAGTGCAGATTCCATTTATTTCATGCTCCATACATCAAATGTAGTGCAACAGTTCCATATTAGAATAAATCTAGACAACCATTTTATGATTTGAAATGTTATTTATATCTCCTATAGTGTATATATAGTGGGTAGCAGGTAGAGATAGTGCACCGTTTATTTTTGCTTTTAATGACAAATTTGAAATTTCGTAGCTAAATTATTTAGCCACGGCACATATTGTCGCTGCCTGTAGCAATAAAAAAGTTGTCACTAAAAGTAACAACTTTTCCATATTTAGCTACAATAATTTTTGCAATTAAATGTTTAATTTCTTGTGGTGAAGAAATGTGAAACTTGAAGAAATAGTTATCGTTACAATAATATTATTGGATTATATTAGTTGACATATCATTAACTTCAAAATTAAAGTAGGTTTTAAGTCCCAATGACATTACTCAATCAAAATTATGGCCAAATTTAGAATGCTAGCTTGGGATCTTAATGCATTATTAAGGAATGTTGTTTTTAATGGTCTAATATTTTTTCCAACGAAATCCTAACAAATTTGGGGACTATGTGACGAAGACATAGAACCTCCTCATGTGTGGGTATATAATACTAAGGCCTTCTCCATGTGAAGACATTGATAATGCTTCGCTGATCAAATTTTGAGATCAAATCAAGAGCTCAAATGACATAACACCTGATTATTTGAAATCTTTATTGGGGCCTAAATGACATGACCACATAGAAAAACTCAAGTCAGCTGTCATGTCATTTGAACTCTTGATTTGATTTCAAAATTTAATCAGTGAATAGATAATCCTCTAAGGAGCAAAAAATTACATTAGAGTGGATCGAATAATCAAACTTTTTTACTGATGAATCACTGTAAAATTTAAGTACTCACTTTCATACTTAAATTATGGCACACAAGCCTTAAGCTCTTCAGCTTAAGCACCACTATCACATGCTTTGAGTTCACATATCATCAATAACCATTATATTGACGAGTCCCATGGTGGAATTCAATAAATCTCCAAGTTTAATTTTAAATCAAGTCTGCAAATTAAGTACAAATAATATTATTTCATTAAATAAATATTAATACGTGAAAATATGCCACTAAATTTCATATAATAATAATAATAATAATAATAAAGTAAAATAAAATTCAAATTTTAAAAGATAAACAAAATAATTTTTGCTTTTCGCGGTTGCTATCATTTTAAATTTTAAAATTAATCCAACGACTAATATTAACATCCCAAATTTAATAAAAAAAAAAAAACTCTTAATAGTGTGTTTGAGTTAACTTTTTAAAAGTGTTTATAGAACTTACAATTTCTCATAAGTACTTTTTATTAATAAAAATTAGTGTTTGAAACCAATCAACCACCACCCCCCCATGTCCCACCACCACCTCTACCCTAACCACTACCACCACTACTCCAACCACCACTACCATCGTCGTTGCCACACCATCACCTCTGCCATGATAGCCACGACCACCACCACCATCACTATCGCCACCCCACCACCACCATCATTATTGCCACCTCACAAGTACCACCACCACCCCCATCGCCCCATAACCACTATTGCCACTCTACCATCACGCGCCCACTGTTCCATCAAAACCATCCTCCCTACCACCACTGCCCACCGCCACTGTCGCCAGGGGTGGAGCTACGTCTCAAGGGCTAGGGGCAGTTGCCCCCGTTGAATTTTGAGCAAAAGTCTATATATTGCTATAGGTTCAAAACTTTAAAGAATGTTGCCCCTCATAAATTCAAAAGTTTATATGTTGCCCCCATAAATTCTTAGAAATTTATATAGTGCCCTAGTTATTTTTATTTTTGATAGGTCAGTGGTTCACTTGCTCCCTTAATAATTTATGAAGAAATATATTTTAATTGAGTAAAATAAATGTAAAATACCTTTTTCACGTAATAGTTAAATCTTAGATCTTAATATTTTGCTTATATTTTACCTTAAGAATTCTTTATTTGAAAATAACCTTCAATTCAATCGTCTTTAATGGAGGTTCAAAAAGATTTTTTTTTTAATACCATTTGGTTAAGTTTTTTGCTCATATTTTTGCCCCCACTAAGATGAATATCTGGCTCCTCCCCTGACTGTCACCACCTTATCATAACCGTCATTGTCCCACCACCACCCCCCCCCCCCCCCCACCACCCCTACTACCCCACCACCACCATCACCATTGCCATCCAAGGTTGTTACTATCACAACCGGTCATCGCCATCCATCATCGTCTTTCACCACTAGTACTGTCATCCACCACCATTACCACTGCTCTTCCATACTATAATCGGTACTTAAATTCTTTTCTCCCTCCTTTATCTAAATTCCTTTCCCCCTCCTCTATTTTTATAATTTGATTTTCGGTGTAAATACAAATATGTTTATTATTGAATTTTTTTTTATTACTCCGTGCCTTTAGGCACCGAAAATAAGTAGTATATATATATTTTATATTATCTTATCACAAAAACACAATCAAACAAGACCAAAGTTCAAATACCATATGAAGGCGGTGCCAGCTAATCAACTGACTGGACCAGGTTGGCCAAGGCCGAAGAGGGCTCACTACAACAAATAAGTTTTTACTTGGAAACATTTCTCAAGAAAACTTAAGACATTGTCAGCAAAAATTGTTTCCAACACCCTATAATTTCAGGGTATTGGTGATTTTTCTGAGCTGCATTAACTGGTGTTGCCCACCCAATAATTAGGGATGACAATACTCAACACGATAAATTAATACAATACGAAATTAATTGGTTATAATATTTTATGATCGATCATAATATTATCTCAAAAAATTATCATTTTTTCTTTAAAAGGTGTAACTTGATATCAAAAAAACAATAACTATCAAAAATATACAATTTTTTTTCAATGCCGTAGAATTACCTACGGTATAAACATGTAGGAAAAATTTTAGCCACATCCCTATGAATTTATCTTATTTTTAAAGACACCCCCTCTTTAAAGACTCTTTTTAATTTATATTTAAACATTATTGACACACCCTGCCGTTAAACTGTCATTTCTAATAAAAATAATTTATTTAAAATATCAAAATTGTCCTTACATAAATCCTAAACAATCTTTTTTGCATAAAATCCTGGTCAATTAAAATTTATATATATATATTAAAATTTGAGTTGATTAAAATTGATTTTTTTACATATTAAAATTTGATTCAAACTGATTAAATATTATTTTTTTACATATTAAAATTAGAGCCTATTAAACTTTTTTTTTACGTATTCAAATTTAAGCCGATTTGAGCTTAACTTGAGTTGTTAGCGCCGATTAAAATTCTATTCAAGTCGATTAAAATTTATATTTTTTTACATTTAAAAATTTGTGCCAATTAAAATTCAATTTAAGTTGATTAAAATTTATTTTCTATTTATTATTATTTAAATCGATTAAAAATTATATTTGTTTTATTTATTAAAATTTGGGCCAATTAAAATTTAATGCAAGTTGATCAAAATTTGATTTGAGCAGATTAAAAATAAATTTTAATCGATTTGAATTGAATTTTAATCGATCTGAAATTTTAATATATAAAAATATTTATAAAATCGAGAGAGTCTCATTAAAGATATATCTATCTAAAAGGAGTGTAGATGAAGTTTTTTTTAAAATATATCATGGACAATTTAGTAAAATTGTATTCTAGTCAAGACCTTTAATTTTGACAGGGATGTCAATAAAGATTAAAAAAATGCAGGAGGTCTTTTTAAAGATATGATAAAATAAAAAGAGCTTGAGTGAAATTTTCCCAAACTTGTAAGGACATGACCCAAAATATGAATTATATGACTCGTTTGTACATACGGTTGGCGGCTTTTGGTGACCTGTGTGCAATTGCAAATACGCATCAGTTTTAACATTGTGAAAGAAAAGTTCCTTTTGTGTACGTCGTTGTCATCAGGTTTTATCCATTCAATAAAAATAACTCAAACATTGAAAATATTGATCCAAATATAAAAAACCATCCAACCAACAAAAAATGGGACAAAAAAGAGAATAAGAATACATCCATCGCATCTTCAACCCAAAATTTGTTATGAAAAATATATATGTAATTAGATTATAATAAATTGTATAAAATCTAACTTATGCACTAACCTAAACAAAATGTATAAAAATCAAAACTAGTGCACTCACAGGGACATAGATTAGTACGAATAGTTAATAATAAAATCAAAATAGATAATCCGAGTCTTGTGAAACACAATCTTCTTAAGACAGATTTGTTCCCTCTCGGTACTCAAGATTGATGAGCAACTGTCTCTCAAGATAGAATGAATTTTCGTTCCTGAAGAAGAAACACTTTAATCTTCAAGATTCCAGTAAACACTACTCGTGTTTATACTTGAACCGAATAAAAAAAGAATAACGCAATAATATGCACACAGAGAGAGAGAGACTGGGAGAGAGAGAAGTAATTCTAAAATTGGAATCCAGAATGTGATGAATTGAAATGACAAAGGGAGTGTCTATTTATAGATCCTTGGTAGTCGTCACTACAACAATTAAGATTTTTTGTGACAAATTTTTTTGTCACTATAAATGTGTATTTCGTCACTGAAGAGTTTCAGTGATGATATTTCTATCGTCACTAGGTGGTCACTAGAAGTTTGTCAGTAATTGTCTATAGTGAAGGGCATGAGTTGTCACTGTTCAGATTGAAGAGACACTCTTTAATTTGAACAGGCAAGAGACACCTCTTGGATGAACAAACTCTCTGAAAATGAACCCAGACCCCTTACGTCACCAAATTCAAAAAGTAATGGATAGAAATTTAAAATTTCGGTTAATTCCGATCCGCTGAGTGACACACCAAGTTCTAGATATGTTTTGAAAAGCAAGAAGATTATGTGAAAACATGGTTAAAGGATGCTACTATGATTGAAGACTACTTGATTCTTCAAATGCTTTTCAGGCTTTGTCCTAGGAATAGAGCCTTCAATTGTGCCCATGTGGATCTCTTTACCTGGCTTGCCATTGATTTTTTTCAAGAAAAACTATTTGGAGGTTCTAACCAAGCCGATTGGGAAAGTATTAACGTATGATCAGGCCATGTTGACACTTTTAAGATCGGGGGTTGCAAGGAAATTCAGTGAATGTCCAGGAAACTATGGAGCAAATTCAGGAAACGTATAAGGAGGACACTGTGAGAGTGATGGAGGCTAGAGATCACTCAGGGAAAGATAATATCTCTTTGCCACAGGCTGACCCTAGAAGCCCTGCTGCTCCAGCGGAGGAAATTCTAGTAGCGAATAAGGAAGGTTTGGACATTACAGAGAAGAAAATTCGAGATACTAGAAAGGAAAGTTTGGGTAATATATTAGAGGATATTCGAGAGACTAGTAAGGAAACTACGGAGATTGCATTTATGGCGATTACCAATGGTCAGCCTGAAGCTTCAGCTATGGAGAAAACCAATGAATAGTCTAATAGACCGTGTCTACTCAATAATCAAATATCCTTGGCTTCGGAGTCCACATTCCTTGTAGATCATGAGTATGTTCGTGTTGGTAATAGCGGTACATCTTTGGATGGTGATAGAGGTCTATATTGTGCTAAGGAACCACCTGATAAAGGCTTCCACTTTGATGACGAGGTTACTACTAATCTTGCATGTGTTGAAATTGACTCAATTGAGATTAACTTGCAAGTGGAGGATTATAACCATTCAGGCATTGTTACTAGATCCAAATCTAGGAAGCAATCTTTACCCCAAATTTCTTATGATTAATACAATTTCTTGGAAAGTGAGGGGAACGAATAAAGAAGCTTCCAGAATAAGGCTTAAGGAACTTGTTAAGTTAAACGATGTTTGTTTAGTATCTCTTCTTGAACCAAAGCTGCTGCCTTCTAAATTGCAAAGTTTATGTGTTAGCTTGGGGTTTTCCTCTTACATGGAAAATCCGATGGCTGAAAAACATATTTGGGTTCTTTGGGGACCACAAAGTGAAAGTTAATGTGATTGCAGTGCATGAGTAAGCTTTGACTGTTGAGGTGTCTTTCTTGGCTTCATTGTCGTTCTTTATTACATTTGTCTATGCAAAATGTGATCATTTACTCAGAAGACCATTATGATCTCATTTGGCTGATATACAATTTTTTGATGCGCCTTGGATGCTAGTAGGTGACTTCAATACGATTGTTTCCTATACAGAGAGAAAAGGGTGGAGCTTCTTCCTTTCTTACTGTGATGAATGAATTTGTGTCTTTCATAAATGAAGTTGGTCTGTATGACTATGGTTTCTCTGGGGCGTCTTTCACTTGGTGTAATAACCGCCAAGGTATGTCTCGCATGTGGCAAAGGATTGATAGGGCTCTAGTTAATGGTAATTGGGGGGGATAGATTTGAGAAGACAGAAGTGGAGCATGTTGATAGAATTCACTCTGATCACTGTCTTATTTGTAGATTCTCTAAAATTGCAGCCCCAAGGAGGATATCTTATTTTAAATTTTTGGATATATGGACGACACATCCGGGTTTTCTAAAGTTAGTGGAGGATAACTGGACGGGCAGTTATTCCAACAACCCAATTGAGAACGTGTTTTTGAAACTAAAGTATTTGAAATTCCATTTAAAAAGGTGGAATAAAGAAGTTTTTGGTAACGTGTTTGATAATATCAAAGTGAAAGAAAGGCAGTTGTAGCAAGATGAACGAAGAGTGGAGGAGCATGATTCCTAGTTCAATGAGCAAGCTTGAACAATGCTAAAATGGAACTAGATGAGGTTCTCAGACTGGAGGATATGTATTGGAGGTAGAAAGCGAACATACGATGGGCCCTTGAAGGGGAAAGAAACACCAGACTTTACCATGCCATTGTTAGAGGCAAGGTTGCCAGGAATAGGATTTCAAGAATTAAGAATGCGGAGGGTCACTGGTTAGAGGAGGAAGAGGCTATTGCTAATTGTGCAGTGAATTTCTTTTCTGCACTATATAGCTCTGAAGCCCACTCTATTGATTATGGCTTATTTAACAGTATTCCCAAGCTGGTTTCTCTTGAAGAAAATATGATGCTTACCTCCCCACCCACTTTAGAGGAACTCAAATCTATTATCTTTGGCATGTCTACGCACAGTGCACCTGGAGCTGATGGATTCTCACGTAAGTTCTTCCAAACTACCTGGTAAATTATTAAAAATGACCTTTTGGTTGCAATCAATTTTTTCCTTCAGGGTGGGCTGATTCCTAGGTCAGTTAACACCACTATTTTGTCTTTGATCCCCAAGAAAGACAGTCCATCCACATTTGCCGATTTTAGACCCATTAGCCTTTGTACTTTTTTATATAAAATTTTCACAAAATTGCTAGCAAATAGACTGGGGTTGTTGCCTAAGCTAATTTCAGTTGAACAACATGGGTTTGTCAAAGGAAGAACTATGGGGGATAACATTGCTCTTGCCCAGTTTATGATGAATGATCTTGACTGTAAGGTGGAAGCTGGAAATGTTATTGTTAAACTTGATATGATGAAAGCATTTGATAGATTGGAGTGGGATTTTTTGAAGCTTGCATTGAATAGCTTTGGTTTTTCTGAAGACTTCATAGCTATTGTTTCTAACTGCCTAAGTCATCAGAATATCTCTTTATCTATTAATGGTGTTAGACATGGTTTCTTTCCCAGCTCGAGAGATTTAAGACAGGGTGATCTTTTGTCACCCTCTCTTTTCATCTTAGTTGAAGAGGTGTTGAGTAGAGGATTGAGATTTCAATTTGAGCAAGATTTAATCCAAAGTTATCACACAGGAAGAGGATAAAGGCTTCTAAGCCACCTATTGTTTGCAGATGACACTCTCATCTTCCTGAGAGGGCATAAGAGGTCTATGATCAACCTGTTGAAATTTGTGGACAGGTATGAGCAGTCATCTGGTCAGAGAGTTAATAAATAGAAAAATTCCCTATATTGTTCTTCTAAAATCTCAGTTGCTAGGAAGCATAGCTTATCACATGTGGCTAATATCCTTCTTAAGCATTGTCTTTTTACATACCTAGGATGCCCAATTATTAAGGGGAGGGTTAAGTTGTGCTATTTTGAGGAGATACTACAGAAATTTCAATCAAGGTTGGAGGGCTGGTGTGCTAAGCTCCTCTCCAATATGGGCAGAATAGTCCTTATTAAATATGTGCTATGTTCGCTACCCATTCATCTACTTGCTTCCTTGAACCTTCCTAAAGGGATCATAGCAAAGATGAACTTCGCTATGTCTTCTTTTATGTGGTTTAATAAGGGAAATGTAAAGAAAAGGCATTTGATTTCTTGGGTTAAAGTTACGCTGCCACTAAGTGAGGTTGGTTTGGGAATTCAAAAATTTGAGGAAGTGCAGAATTCATTTAGAATGAAGCAGGTGTGGAACCTTTTGCAGAATAGCTCCCTGTGGTCCTCCTTTTTTTCTACAAAGTATCTATAGGGTAATCATTTATTGCGTTTCAATAACCAGGTGCAACCCAGGTGCCTTAAAGCGTTATCCCCATGGTTTGAAGTCATCATTAGCAATTCAAAGATGTTAGTTGGTTCAGGCTCTAGTGTGGATTTTTGGTGTGATAATTGGACAGGTGGAGGCCCTCTCCTTCTAAGGAATTCCACTATGCCAGTTCATTTTCCTAAGTTGTCAGAGTTGCATATTCAAGGTCAATGGCAGCTACAAAGTGTAATTCACCTATTACATCAGAATCTTCTCCAGGAGGTTCACTCCTCTAGAGTCACCCTATCTGAGCAACAAGACATGCTAATTTGGCAGCCCACTTCACTAGGGAACTTCTCTATCAAAGCAACATGGGAATTGTCTAGGAGGAATAATATGTAAGATGATTAGGCCATTAACATATGGAAGCAGTGCTCTCCACCTGGTGTACAGTTAGTTGGATGGAAGCTTACGAAGAATGCACTCCTTCTAGACTCAAAATTCCAGAGTTTGGGAATCTCTATGGCAAGTAGATGCACTTTATGTTGTTGCGAGGAGGAATCTGCTTCTCATTTATTTATCTCTTGCACTTTCAGCTCTCAACTTTGGTGCAAAATTTCTAGTTTGTTTGGTTTTCAAGGGTTTCCCTTGGAGTCTCCAATATCCAGGTTTCTCAGATTGTGCAGGATTTATTCTAAACAGTTCAGGAGTCATACTTTAACAAGGAGTTTGCCCCTGCTGGTTTATTGGCAGTTATGGAAAGAACATTGCTATAGGGTCTTTGAGAATCAGAAGCAGTCTCCTAACTCTTTATTTTCTCTTACTATTCAGTAGCTTAGGTTGCAAGCAGTTATATTTAAGCCCAAAGTCATGGATTCAATTAGTGGACACTCTATACTCCAATCTCTTAATGTCAGGTTATTCACAAAGGTTTTCAAGAGTGTTAAATGGATTTGCTGGAACTTTCCTCCTCAGGGTACACCAATGGTGGTGTGGTCCTACGTAATGAGTGGGGTCAGATGGTTCTATCTGGGTCATATTTCTATGAAATTTGTTCAAATATGGAAGCTGAAATTCTTGCCTTTCTGGATGGTTTGCTTCTTGTGAAAGATTATGGTTTGGAGGCTTATCCCTTGATTATTGAGACATATTCTCAAGTCCTTGTGGATCTAATTAAGCAGCAATCTATGTTAGCTTGGAAGTTTTAGGCTCTCTCTAGAAACATTTTTACTATTCTCCAACGTTTTGAGTATCAAATACAACATTCCTATAGAGAATGTAATGCAATTGTAGACTCTTTGGCCAAACAAGGAGTCTGTAACCAAGTTTCTCACACTCATACTTCCCCTCATACTCTAAATCTACATATGAGACAACTCCTACTGCAGGACCAATGACAAATTAAATCTCTACGCTCTAAGGTCAAAGTACTCTAATAGATGATCTGGTTTTGGAGCTTATGATGCAACATATATATATGAGGATGAAGTCTTTTTACAGGGATATGTTAAGGCTGATCAGAGTTATTTCCCAGTATGCACAAGATACAAGTCCATACATTCAAATGTTAAAACAAACACAATAGTCCATTCACAGTTCAAGCAAAAAACACAGTTTGTTTATATAGTCTGAATTACTGATTTATCCCTATATATGGGGGATAATTTTTCTAAAAGTAAGGAAATTCTACTGGGAAAGAATACAGCAGGTACCTATTTGTCTTCTCTTCTTCTTTAGGATCAATGTCTGAGTCTCTGGTTTTCTTGGGGTTGCTTCTTTTTTTGGGTTTCTAATCATGTTTCATACTTCTCTGCTTCGATTGTTGGAATTCTGCAAGGGTGGTCTTGATCTCTGCAATTGTTGGGCAAAAATTTGAATATTTTTTCGAGCATGACTTCACTCATATAACAAAGAATTATACGAGTTTTATTAATGTAGGTTAGACCCATTCCGGATAGTATATATCCGTTAATTATAATCTCTTGCTTCAGGAAAACACCCTTTGATTCTAACGAGAAATTATCACTCGTTACCATTAACACCACAAGGGCATTTTATTTGTGATGGTGGCTGAATCTAGGTTAATTGTCTAGGTTGCTCTACGTACCCGTTATCGGGATCAAGCCAATTCGTAGTTCTAGGAAATTAAATTATTTTTGGGGTAAGATCAATGGGTAGATGACACATTGATCTTGAATGGACATTATGTTTGAAATGGGTAAATGACCATTTGAATTGATATGGGTTTAAGAATCACTTGATTGTGGATGAGTTGTGACTAAGCCTAGTTTAACTAGACTACCTACATATCCGAAAATGAATCATGTCAGTCG